TTCATAAGAACATGAACATGATTATCAAAGTTTCAAAAAATTATTTGAACACATACAAAGCATGGAATTTTGATATATGCTATTGTAAATGGATTAGAACAACCAACCATAAAATAAGTTTTAAAACATCAAAACAGTTTGGGGTAAAGTTTCTAGTCCATTTCCAGCAGCAAAAGTCGAAAATCTGCATTCTGAACCTTCTACTCGCCGAGTGCACAAACCTACTCGCCGAGTAGGTTGAATTTTGCCTTGGACTCGGCGAATCCCCCCATGGACTCGGCGATTCCAGCATGCAGATAGCAAAAATTTCGACTTTTTTCACTATTTTGCATCAAGTATCAAACAAGCAAGTCTAGGCTCTGATACCACTGTTGGGTTTTGAGTAATCTAACACTTCCTAAGTGTGCATGCAACCCTAATAAACCTTGGATCTATGTTTGTCTAAATACATGCAAAATAATAATTTTCCAAGGTTCATAACCTATCTAACATGGCATGGGGTACTTTTAAACATAAAAGAGTTAGAAGAGATTAGATACCTTTTTGATGAGTTGGATTCTTAAGGAGTTTGAGGGCCAAGCACCAATAGTGTGAATGCCTCAAATGGAATCACAAATCACTACAAAATCTTGGAAAACTTTGAGAGAGTGTATACACACTACAATTTTCGGCCACACACAAACACACACACTAGTGGCTATTTCATGCAACATAAGCATGCTTATATAGTGTACATGATTAGGGTGAAACCCTAATAACCCATGACCTTTCATTTTCCAAGGATCCATGGGTTAAAAGCTCCATGGATCATCCATGGATTTCCATACAAGCCTAGCCCATTAACAAATGGGTGTTAGCCCACACCATATAAAATCAATAGCCCACAATCTAATTAGCCTTCCTTTTAATCTCTAAATTAATTCATAATTAATTTAAGACTAAGATTAATTAAATAACATGACTTCATATTAATATATTATAACTTATAATATATTAATAATAGTATTTGTATAACTCTCATAAAATTATCCATAAATAGTTTGGATGAAATGCAACCCAAATGGACCATGCCGAGTCGGGTCAAGTATATACCAAATAAGTTATGGACTTAGACACCTTATCCAACATAAACGTCAAACAATCAACCAAATTACCCATACCCATTATATTATTTACTCTTAAGGATCTACCCTAAGAATCGACTATTCCTTGTTCATTCGTTCCTAAGAATTATCCTAAAGAATACGCACGAAGTACATTGTCGCCAAGGTTTATACAATAGGCACTAAGTCCATAGTCGCCATGGTTTATATAATAGGGACAAAGTCTATAGTCGCCAGGGTTTAGGCATTAAGTCCATAGTCGCCATGGTTTATACAATTAGCACTAAGTCCATACTCGCCAATGTTTACTTATATCCTCTTTCATCCCTCCTCGTTCATCTACCCATGTTTTACCCAACATATTCGTAGATATAAAATACGTATAAAGTTTAAATCACTTAAAACATGTATAACATTGTTCATCCAACATAGGTCTCAAATAAGCAGATAATATGCACTCATAGAACGTAATTTATATAAAATACTTTATATATATGTATATATATATATATATATATATATATATATATATATATATATATATATGTAAGATGAAAGTAACTATGCACTCACTTGTTAAAGTGACGAGTCGATATTCGAGCAGCGCTTCGCTTCTTAACAATATGATTTCCTTTGATGAAACCTAGTATTCTTACCACTAGATTTTAGTCTAATCTTTATTGGGACTAAATTATTAGCCTAGATTTATCATTAACTCAAAGTCTACTTCATGATCTATCAAGTAAGGAACAACCAGGTAGGATCATATCAGAGGTAGGGTTTGTTTAGTATAAGAAGTATACTCTTTGGAAATCCCACTTTAAACACATCACTAAATTACAACCTAGACATCATCCCCATAAGTAGATCAATCAGTATAACGACTTGGAATCACTGATAAATCTTGTTTATAGGTTTATAATAACGATAATGAACTTAAACAGAAGTTATACTTAAAGTAGGTTAAGCATAACTTACCTACGACGGGGTTTGGCGAGGAGTCAGGCTTTTCAGGGGTAGAACTTCTAAGCCGAAAGCTCTTCTTCTCGGAGCCTTTCGGTGCTTTGGGACTCGCCTCTAACACCTAGGAGGTGCTAGGGAATGGAACTGAGGGTTTGGGGGTAATAACAGAGAAACTTTATGAAAGGTGTGAGTTTTGGGGGTGATTTACACCTCTATTTATAGGTTGTCTTGGCCTTCTCACGTCGTCAGACAATGTGCTCACGTCGTGAGCCTTGCGTAGGCACCAAGGCGAAGATTGGTGCTGACACGTGGCACAAGATGCAGGTAACACATCAAATCTTTAAAAATTCATAACTTTCGCATACGAACTGTGACGTTCTTTATATGTACACGTAGATAAAGACAAGATCTACAACTTTTCCTTTTGACTCTATCAACTAATTCTCGACCGATTTAAATTTAACAGTATGAGAAGATTATACTGTTAAATGACTACGTAAAATTAGTAACTTTTACATATGGACTCCGTTTTCTTCCGTCTTTTTGTCGTTAAGCTCCTATTAATGAGATCTTGAACTCACATTTAGGTTGCATTGGCCAAAAATGGATCGATCTAAAATTTGAATTTTGGGTTGTGCACTGCTATGTCAAATCTTAGAAAAATCATAACTTCCTCATACAAAGTTAGATTTGGGTGTTCTTTTTATGCATGCTTTCGTTTTAATGTATACTAAAAATTTCATTTAGATCCATAAGGCTAAAAAGTAGTTTATCAAAAAATTACTTTTTACGTCACATAGAGTCATGCCGGTTTTGTCACGAAACTTCGACGGACCATAACTTCTTCGTTATATCTCGAATTTCGGTGTACTTTATATGTACTAAACCCTTGTGGCATATACTATAACTTGGTTAAGATTAAACCTTCTAAATAATCTTCCATCAAAAAGTCATTTTTGACGCTTATTGTCTTTAAATTGACTAGCCTGAATCTGCGGGTGTTACAACTGTTACTAGGTAAGGGGTAAAGGAATCATAGGCACATATTCGTTCTCTATCTTTGGTGTGTGTTGCACAACCTTGTCCTCTTCGAGTAAAGGATACAACACCCAACCACATATGTCATCCATATCACTCTGATACCCTGCATTAGACATCAAACATGAAATATGTTTATGAGAGATAGCATGAGAATCATAAAATACATATGATTTCCTATTATAAGTATGTAGTAGATAGTACCATATCTCCTAGGATTATCTATATGGGGGTATGTTGGACACCTAACTCTAATCCATCAATATGGATATCCTCATGGTGTACCATTCCAAACTAAGTGTTGAATCCTCTCGTAATACGTATTGACCTAAGTCTGCAATCCTCAAGAAGTCGATCTAAGTCAATGATCCAAAATCCTTAAGTAGTAGGTTTTGGTCTAACTCAACTTATCGAACTAAGCTATCGATTCATAAATCCTTAAGCATTTAAATCACTACTAGAAAAAAAGCATTTTACAACGCTCATTGCGGGTCGTAAAAGGCTCAGACGACGCGCAAATGTGCATCAAGGAAGGCCATGTCATAAAGAGAGACGACGCGCATTTATGACGCGCAATTACGACGTGCATTTACAACACACAATGTGTATCAAGGGAGGCCCTGTCATAAAGGAAGACGACACACATTCGCATGCTGTAACCTTACGACGCGCGTGCTAATGACATGCAATGCGTATAAAAAAAGCCCCTGTCAAGAAAAGCCATGTCATAAATGAAGATGACTCACATTTTTGCGTATTGTAAATTTAAATGCTTAAAATAAATTATATATTTATTAATTTTTAAATTAAATTTGCATTTAATTTCTCATAATATAAATAAAATACCATATACAAAAAATACAATCCATTGCATAATATAAAATAAAATTTCATACTAAAAAAATAAAATAAATTGCACAAATTATAATGTCATACAAATAATCATTCAAATGTTAAACAAAAATAATACATTGCTAACATGGGTTATAATGCATGCACCATTCAGACCACCATCCAGACCTTCACCCAAACACATGACCAGTGATATACAAACACATGACCAAGGGCTGCGTGATAACAAGATCTTCTAGAGCTTTTACTTTGTCTAGTGATAAGGTGTTGTATAACATATCAACATCCTTAAACTCATCAAAATCCTCCTGCAGATGAATTGGTTTGTGGTGGTTTTACTTTTAGATGCTTTGTGAAAAGTGAAAACCACAAGATTCTTTTATCCTGAATTTTACTAGGTGGTATAGTGGAGAGAACCTCAAAGAAACTATTGAGAAAATGTGAAAAGGAAAAAAGTATATGATGACCTGATTTCGTTCCACATAGTCATCAATGAAGTCCTTAACATCAGTGACTTGTTCAAGGCTCAATTCATCATTATCCAACCTCAATTTGATATTCCAGCTCAGACACCTAACCAATAATAAGCATTGTCATATATAATGTCTAAATAGGTAACCAACGACTAAGACATGCTTGCGAGGGAAGAGTAAGAAGAAAGGAATACAAATGGAAACATAAATGACCTTCTTACCCTTCGAAAAAGATTTGTTTAATAATATATTAACTCTTAACATATTAAATAAAAACAATAAAAAATAAAACAAAATAAAATAAAATAGAGCTCACCTTTTTGTTCAACAACTTCAATAAATTGATGAGCTTCTTCAAAGATATGACTGATGTCTGCTTCTTCTTCATGACCTATATGTTCATATTAATCATCACAACCCGTTTTTTATTAAATAAAAAAAGGAAAGACTAATTAATCACTTATAGAAAAGTTTTGATACTCAAAAAAATCTGCCCGTTGAGATTCAGCCTGACTGATTTCATTAGAACACAAACACAATATATATGCGTAATCCCTAAATGTTGCAGTGTTTATACAGATCTTGCAGCTAGTGCGCCTCCGATGAATAGGGTATTTGTGATCAGTGAAGGTTTTTCTATGTTTCCAGCATCAAATATTAATGATATCCTTTCAAGAATATGCTCAAGCCTGAGCTGTAAGTTGCACAAACAAAGTTAATAATAATAATTCAGATGCTTCTTGTTAATATGGAAATGCTGATATTTTTACCTTCAATTCATAAGCATCAATAACATAATTACTCTCACTGCCCTCAAAAAACCCTGAAGTGAATTTATTCTCTTGGCACCACCACGGTAACCACCACCACCACGTCCAGGGTAACCGCCACGACCTCTTCCTCGTCTCCGCCCTCTTCCACCAGAACCACGCCCGTTATCCCATCCACCACCATATCCTTGCCCATCTTCCCACCCACCATCTCCATTGTACTCAATCCCTCCATTGTTATAACTTCCTACAGAAAAGTACAATTCTATAAAATATGTGGGAACAGAAAATGTGTAAATTTTTAAGAAAAATAAAATAAAAATTATAGATATGATTATTCATAAAGCTAATACATTTTGTCTCAATTTGGTTAACAAATTGACATATATGGTCCAAGTCACAGAAACTTTATGTATGACTGTTTGCATCTATATATAAAGAGAATAATTAGTAATTAACATTACAGTCAACACGAAGTATGTGATATCCTTCACGGATCTATAATCCCCTTCTGAAACCGAACTAGCAATCAACACCTAAAACAAAACAAAAAAATGGTTAAGTCAACTATCTGACAAATAGTCAAACATTTTCCTTAAACTATTTGTTAAGTCAACATTTGGTCAATTTATATCTTACCAGATGCTACCAATACATCTGTAATAAGAGAAACAACCAACCAAACTTGCAAACATATCTGATGAGCAAGCATGGCTATAGGACCTTGCCTAGAAACCATTGATTTTGATAAGGTTGTCGTTGTATGTACTGCAAAATAAATAAATAAATGCAAATGCAAAAGTGAAAAATAATAAAACAAATAAGTTACTCACCAGATCTCTTATAGCAACATTAGAATCAGTAGTGTAATTTGGATATTGATGAGCGTAACTTGGATGGCTACCTTGACTCCATGAATTTGTTTGAGTATTGTAATTTGCAGTTTGGTAACCACCAGATGGCTGATAATCACCAGGATTGTAATAAGTTGTTGAATAAATTGCAGGCCCAGGATAGGACCCTGCATTCTGAAATGAGGAAATAGGCTGATGAGGAGCACCTGTACTTTGATAGGCTCCTGCTGGCTGAACATATGTTTGACTAGGTTGGACATACATTTGACTTGACAGATTTGGTTGTTGTTTAGGGTATGATTGATTTGGTTGCTGCTGCTGATAGCTACTACTATAGTAACCTGCATATCCTGCTGCTGAAACAGTGCCAGTAGTTGCCACACTCAATCCATCTTGATGGTTTCTTGATTGAGGTTCTGAATGTTGATCATGGCTGAAGTTGGCACTAGGATAAGTTGTGTTCCTTGGCAATTCCCCTGTTTAAGTTAGTAAATAAATATCTATCAGCTCAATCCACCAACCATAATTTTGAAAAATTACACAAACTAGCTGGGAAGATCTGGTGAGGTGCATAACCTGTATGAGTATTATACAAACATTCTCCTCAAATTGATCAATCCCAAGCAATAAATAAACACCATTAGAAATATCATAAACCATAAGCCCAATCCTTCCACCAATCCAACTTCAATATTCACTTCCAACCAAATACCCAAAACGCCCATACATTTTTTCCCCTAAATACCCAACAAAATAAGTCCCAAACAATGCTCCTGTACCCTTAAGAAACCTTTCAGTCACAATTCCTCCATAATAAATGGCTTCAAAGAAATCCCACCCGGAAGAAATAATCGTGCCAATGATCCGTTTAGCTTGCCAGGTTGCCATTTTTGCAGCTTTGGCTCCATCTTGTTGGGCTTGTTTTGCAGCAGCTTTGGCTTCCATGCCTTGTGAAATTGCATCTGCTAGTGAGCTTCAATTGCTTTGTTTCTTGATGGTAAAACAAGAGTTTTTAATCAAAAATAAGTTGAACAACTAATTAGAATGATATGTCATGCAGGAAAACTAATAATAAGACAGATGTAGAATTACTTAACTATCCTAATTTTAATCATCTAGTTATCCTATTCCAATTTTTTTTTTTCTGTTTTGTGACAACCAACGTAGAAACACAAGCCAAAATTACCTAAAACGAATTACTTCTTTAGTTATATTTCACCAAGGAATAACGGAAAACACAATTAGCAAAAATAGAGTTTAGCTTACCAAATGATATCCCGGTATTTAAAGGTATATATATCATTCTATGAAGCTTCAATTTCAAACAACTTTCACTCAATCGGGAAGAAGAAGGAATAGAAAAACCAAAAAAAAGTAAAAAAAGTAAAAATTAGAAGTCGATGCTCGATTTCTTTAAATAGGAGAAGTAACCAAGTAAATCCATGTTAGTGATTTTCCTTCAAATAAAAGTATAAACGAACCATAATTTTGGAGGAATCGAGCCAGGTTAAGAAGATGAAGGTTCCCTCTTCAGATGTTATCATATTTACATCACCAACAATATTACTTGACTCTGTGCAATACTCAGAGCTGTCTGGTGATGCTTTATAAAAAGCAGGCTGCCTACATATATTAAAGTTTTTAAAAGTTTAAAAATTAGAGATTTTGTTTTTAAGAAGTCAATTAAAGAAATGAAGTTTAGTTTATATTTATTAATTATTACCTCTAGTAATCGTTACTACTTCCATTGTTACAATTTCTTATGACATCAACCAAATCTTTAAAATTTGCAAGCCGAAAATCAATATTAGCAATGTCGAATCCAAGATTCTTACTTTCTTTAGTGTTCTTAAGAAAATTCTAAACAACCTGATTGTTGTATATGATTTAATGTTAGCAATCCAATTTTATCATCATACAAATTACCTTTCTCACTCTATCCATTCCTTATAATTCAAAGCCTAGAGGCTCACGTTTTTACCCTTCTCCAATAACACTGAAATATCATCAATCTCTATGGAATTTAGTCGAGCAGTTAGCAGGCATACATCCTCATCCTATAAATATATTGTAATGTTACTGTTAGACTGCCTTGTCTTGGAAAAAAAGTAAAGTAGAACCAAAACCCAGATTAAGAACATCAAGAAAAATCAAAATTAGAACCTAAAATCCTGAAAAGTATCTCTTATCAGGATAGTTCTTTCCAAGATTTCTCAGCAGATTTAAGTTTCTTCAGTAAAATCACCACCAAAAACACAGATATAAATAACATAAACCAAATAATCAATAAACCCTTATCTTGTACATCTAAAAGAATGTCAATGTTCAAAGAAAACTAAAATGATAAAAATGTCTTTGTTTATCCTCTTAATTCTATATTGGCTTGAATAAACATCTAATCAGACCTAAAATCATCTTCTATACTCTAAAATGTAATTAATTTAGAAGAAGATCCTAAGAATTAGAGAGATGTCTTAATCCAAACCCCTCCTTTTGCCTCTCAATTTGATCTCCAGCGCCTGCTCATTTTCCTTCTATCTTTATCACTTAATGTAACAACCCGAAATTTCCGTATCATTTATTGTAACTCCTTCGTAGTACAATTCGCGCAACCAATCGTCATTCCAAATTCGATTTCCGATATTCCGTATAATTAAGTCGTTAATTAGTACACATTTAAAATGACTTAATGGGTGTCTTAATACATTTAGAAATCATTTTAACACCCAAATTTAGTGATCGGAATATTTCTAGAAATTATCGTATCGGGTTACGGTAACTCAATCGGGTACGACCAAAAGCCTCATCTAACACCGGTATCGGGTAGAATTCCACCGTGTCCAAAACTTAAACACTATATAAACGTGTTTAAGACTCCATTTGAAGCCTTTGGTCAATTTCTCAATTAACACTCACAACATCTCTCCTCAACCCAAAATCAAGGTCCAAAACAAAGATTTAAGGCTTGAAATCAAAGAGGTAACACCCCTAAGTTGTTATTCAACCTCTTTAGCCTTTAAATTTGTGTTTAATTTTTGTTTTGGGACCAAGAGGATGAGTTTACGGCCAAGGAACTAGCTTGGGCCGTAAACTCCTAGAAATGGGGTTTTCAAGCCCTAAAAACCCTTCCTTAGCATTGTTGGACATTAGATATGACTTAATGGCTTAATGGAAAGGACTTATAACATGTAAAACATTAATTTTGAGGGACAAAAGTGAGTTTACGGCCAAGACACATTCTTGGGCCGTAAACTCATATTCAAAGGGTTTTTGAGCCAATTAACCCTTCCAAATCATAGTTGGGACTTAGATATGACTTGTGGGACGTTGGTTTTAGCATCTAAACACCTTAAACATGATTTTTGGGGGACGAAAGAGAGTTAACGGCCAAGACATATTCTTGGGCTGTAAACTCCTCTTAATTGGGGATTTAGAGCCTTAAAACTTGCCCAAATGCCTTGAAACTCAACCAATGGCCTTGTGGTAAAATCTAGATGCATCTAAAAATGGTTTAAAGGTTTGAAACACAACAAAAATGTCACTTATAAGAGTTTACAGCATAGGAGCATACCCTTGGCCGTAAACTCATGAAACTTTGTCAAATGATGCATTAAACCACCCCAAATGGCTTGTTCAAATTTCTAGAATCACATGTGATTGTTTTAAGCATCAAAAACTAACTTTGCTTGAGTATAATAGAGTTTACGGCCTTAGATCATGCCCCTAGACCGTAAACTCCAAAATGTATGCAAAATGATGTTTAAATTCATGACAAAGCTTGGAAAATTAACTAGAATCACATGTGATTGTCCTTTGAAGCTCAAATCAATTTTCCTTGGCCATAGGTGAGTTTACGGCCGTAAACTCCTATGGTATGGCCGTAAACTCCCTTTTAAGTGTTATAATATCATGCAATTCATTCCAAGGCATTTTAGAAATCCATTCCAACAATCCCCATGTCCATTTAAGCCATTACATGTCCGAAGATGTCACCCGGGTCACTCCAAACGCTCGTTTTGAGGTGTTTAACCTCATTGGAGTGTAATGTTCCATATGATTAGTGAATGTATCTCTAATTGTATATATATGGACATTATTTCATTTTACATAGGGATATCACGAGTAATAAAACCCCGAACCAACGTCTAGTTGTAATAACTCAAATTTTCAAATAAAATTTTCATTTAAAATAAAATAATTTCATTCAACAATAATATTTATTCCAAGTTTCATTTCAAAATACAATTAAAAGGATCCCCAAGATCTCCAACAATGGCAGTGTGTACGCGTCACGCCAGCGCCTTCCCACGGTCCTCGCTAGTACCTGAAACACATACATACAACTTGTAAGCATAAATGCTTAGTGAGTTCCCTAGTATACGACTTACTCACATACGCCTTTCCAGGCCCTGACCTTCCGGTCCACAATACATTGCCTTCCGGCCCGTAACATAATCGCCTTCCGGCCCATAACATATCGCCTTCCGGCCCGTATCATATTGCCTTCCGGCCCATAGTATATTGCCTTCCGGCCCATAGCATTCACAACACATAATACATATAACATGACACACACAGCACATACATCATACATCATACCTGACCTTTCTGTCACATAATATATCGCCTTCCGGCCCGTATAAACATACACATCATGCATAGCATCTATCTTTCTATTTATAGCATAAATAACACATATCATATACGACCTTCCGGTCTCACAGTCAAACCCTTCTGGGTGAAGTATAGTGAGAAAACTCACCTCGTAATATGTAAGCTATAAACTCTTGAAACTACTCGCACTCGATCCGCCAATCTGCAGACTCCCTATAATACCATATACCCTTATTAATAATCTTATCACACAAGACAACTGACCCTACGAAATTACATGCAGGTCAACTCTGGTCAACGGTCAGCTTGACCGGACTCGTCGAGTGCAAAGGCGACTCGGCGAGTCTAGACGTCCTCCCCAACTTCCCTGTTGTTCCCCTTTCTACCCGTCGAGTATCCCTCCTGACTCGACGAGATCCTCGTGGAAGAATCGCGGGGCCACCCCGACTCCACTCGCCGAGTCTAAAGAACAACTCGGCGAGTCCCAGTGAACCTTCAAGCTACTCGCCGAGTCGGAAGAACAACTCGGTGAGTCCCAGTGAATCTTCAAGCTACTCACCGATTCTGATCATTGGACTCGGCGAGTCCATGCCATGCAGTCGATCAACTGCCTCCTGTAATCCGCATGGTTCCGAAATATATAAACATGGGACTTCCTGGACCTCTAAACATGCTATTACTGGGATTTAAACGCTTGGTAACAACATTATAATCTATCTAATCACTAAATGGGTTTCATAAACCCTAGATTTGTGCTCACCACCAAAACAACAGAAATGGACCGAGTATTACCTGAAAAACGTGATCTCTGTGTCCCCAACCCTCAGAACTCAATCCTCTTGATCTTCCTTTGACCAACACCTTGCCTCTTCTTGCCTAACAATCTCCTCAAGGTCCCCAATAGCCTTCCCTTATCCTCTAGTCGTCCACAGATGCTAGGTGCTTCACAATCGGCCAAAAAAACGTACAGTGATGGCCTAAGAGGCATTATATACGTTCCAAACTAAACGGCTAGGGTTTCTGCTGAACAGCGTCGACTCGTCGAGTCCATATCTGGACTCGTCGAGTCCAGTCGCGCATCCGCGACCAAGCCTGTGGTCCTACTCGGCGAGTCAGGCACCAACTCGCCGAGTCCCTTCCTAAAATGTCCCCAATAATAGTTTTAAAACAATACCTGAAATTCCAGGCTGTTACACTAGTATTCAAAACCGACACGTTTCCGAGTCCGGTGAGTTCATACCCCTACCCTTTTTCACTGTTTTCACTGTTTTCAGGGGGGGAACACAAGCAAAGTACAAGGGAATTCTTGTACTCAAAACATGTTTTCAAAT